AGGCATGTGTCCGGGAGATGGAGGGAAGTTGTGTTTATGCCTAAACCGGGTAAGTACAGCTATGACAACGCCAAGGCGTACCAAGCCATCAGCTTGAGCACTTTCTTGCTGAAAACACTGGAGAGGGTACATTGATGGGTGCATTAAGGAAGTAGTGCTGAAGATAAATCCTATCCTCCTCACAACACGCGTACCAGGCTGACAGATCAACTCAGACTGCCTTACACAGCCTCGTCGGAAGGATTGAGAGAGCAAGGCGAAGGAAAGAGGACAGTCTGGGCGTCTTCGTCGATATAGAGGGAAATTGAGCTTTTGATGACACTTCCTTTGACGTAGGTAAGAGTAGTGAGGATATTGGGCAGAAGCTTGGTCGTAGGGAAAGGGAAATAGAAAAATTTTCTATTTCTGTAATGGAAATATTTTTTCAATTATTGTTTTTTTTTTGTTATTCTGCTTTTGATTAGTTATTGGTTGCTTTTAATCGTCTTTATAAGGAAAGATTTCATACCTTTCATAGATTTCTTGAAGTAATTTTGAAATTATAATTGAAATATTGTTTGAAAAACAACGATTGAATATAACCAGGTTGTTAATAGAGCTGACTTGACATGCATTATCAAACTGTGCTTTTCTATATTTCTCGCTTCCTCGTGACCTGGATTCCAGGACATGCTGGCAATCTTGACAATATCGAAGCCGATAAGCTGGCCAAAAAGGGTTGTCTAAAGCAGACATGGGCAAGGCGCGCTCAATGGGTTCACCTAGCTCAAACACCAATCCCAATTAGGCCAATGACTATAAAAGAATGGGTCCAATTGTATTATGCAGGTAGTCGGTGGGGCAAGACCACGATGCTTGGGTGAGAGTGGGGGTATCGTTACGTCAGTCAAGGGGCAAAAATTTGAATTTTGGAACGAACAATATGAATATATTTCTTGCTGTATTTTGCATTGTTAAAAAATACCAATGAATCATTTTTTTCTATATCAACTTTCGCATAAAATTCCGTTCAATAAATAATAGGGTTTTATGGCCCCAGCTCCCGAAGGCCTGATTTTTTCCATGCCTGGTCTAAAGGACGTGCCTACAGGGGAAGACCTTGTGTAGGTGTATGAAGACTCTGTCAAGGACATGATCCGGAAGCGAGTGCAGTGGAAGTGACGCCACATGCCCGAAATGCGGACCAACAGAAGAGGACCCGCACCACCTAAGCACTAGGCGCAGTAATCTAGACGATATTCGGTGGAATGTCTTCAGGAACACTTGCATCAAAGACATTTATATTGTTCGTACACCTATGGAATGGCCGGCTGCCACTAGAAAATTGTCAAAAAATTAGGAATTTAAAATAGAAAACGTCGAAAGTTTTTTAATAAATTGGCTATGTACCTTAATGACGCAGGTGCACTCGAGCGATCAATCTAATATCACTACAGATATAAATGATCACTGTTGAGAATGTAACAGTTGTATTTACTGTATTTCTTGTTGAAGGTCTCATAACACGGAGTTTATGAGGATTTTTAATGATTCATAGGAGATAGGGGGTATTGTTTTTATTAATTAACTTGACGACACTGCACTTTGTAACATGTTCTCCCCGGAGAGTCCCGTAAGTCCGGGAAATTGGTTACCTTCGCCGGTTCCGTAGCATCCGCGTAATTACGGGGGGGGGGAGGCGCCAGCTATTTTTAAGTGGGTAAAATAGCAAACCAGAGAGCCGCCTGGTTGTTCAGGATGCAATTAGGAAAAACCATGTATGCCGCCAAGTTGTTAAGGCCACAATTAAAAAAGATCGACAAAGCCGGTAGCTTAGTGTGCTAGGTTGTGGAGAGAGGGTCGGGAATCTTTAATGTGGTCGGTCCCCGTTAGCGTAGAAAGGTTCTTGGGGTAGGCTGATCAATAGCAGATCCGGTCGATAGCTGTCCATAGGCACTAGCATTCCGAGAGCTCACGGTATAGGTATACCTCTTATTATATTCCGTTACCTCAACCTCATGGCTGATAAGGCGGGCTGCATAGCCACGCTAATCACCGGGAGCTACAGGCTGTCAGAGTCCGGGGCCGACGGGCCTGACTGATTTGTGAGAGTGCCGAGGCAACTCTGACGTGTGGAGTGGAGAGTTCTCACCTAGTAAGCTCTGCTCCCCACTCCCTGCTCACGCGGTTGGAGTGCAGGGGGGATCGTCGGTGGTGTTACCATCCGCCCGGGAGGATATCCCTGCCGGTAACATTTCCTGGAGTACGTCGGATTCAAATGTCACCAACCAAGCAGTCCAAGTAACCCCTTATTTGGACTCCTGACCATTTGAATGCCCGCTCTGTCTAACGCGGAACAGTTCCCTGGAGTAGAGAACCCAGTGTTCCGACACAAGAGTCTCATTGGCAGCTGAGGTTTAGTACTATAACCTCAACTTACCACACGTAGCGAATTAGCGGACCCAATCGATACGTCAGAGAGCGTGATTTCATCCGATAATTATTGTTAATTATTAGTAACGCGAAAATCGCGTTACAACGTCGTTATCACAAAATTAAACGATGTACTTATCCCGGTAAATGCAGAGCGAATTCGAAGACATACAAACGCGAGAACAATAATTGGACATTAGATTAGAAAGAAAAATGCTAAAGATAACTCTGTCTTCCAAAGAGGTTTTCAGAAAGACTAACTCTTTGGAATAATTGGTGGAAAGATTGTTGAGGGTAGAAGGAGGCTTTTCTCTGTTAACCCCAAAAATGAGTATTTTTCATGGGTAAAAATGCGGCCCGTCTCTCTCGCACTATTGTCCCACCTTCCGAAGGTGGCAAATCTGGACTTGAATCTTCCATGTTTGAGCTATAATTCAAACCGTTGAGGGAACAGATCAAGTCGTAAAGCTATGCCACGCGGTGTCCCTTCCATATGGGCTTTTACGACACCTAGGTAGAAAAACTACTCAATAAACTCATCTTTGAAAGATTCCTTGGCTGCTTGCTGGACCCTACATTTTTTTTTGGAAATATACAAAAATTACCATTTTGGAAGATTTGTGCGATTTTGGAAGCTATGACAACGCCTATGACAACTTTTGGAAGATTTTTCCCCAAAAAATACATGGTGATATTTGTTACCTTTGCTCAATTGCTTGAGCGGGGTATTTCCCATAATTTGCCGCGTTAAAAGCTTCGACGAGGATGTAGGACAAAGTCTCTGCTTTCCCTACCTTTACTGTGTCTCCACCCTTCCCTATCACTCTTATCTTTAATGTTAGGTGAATTTAATGGTGTGTTAACAATTGATTTTATTTTTAAAACTTAGATTCTAATTTTTCTTTTTCGTGGAAGATGAAACAGTTACTCTCGGCTAACATTATGGAATGTTGCTCACTGGGAACTAGGAAAATAGTAGATATTTTCACTAGGAAAATAGTAGATATTTTTCATCATGGGTAATGGGAAAGAACAAAAGGTTGAGGACTATTCCTAATATATTTAAAATAGTTTCATAGTAAAGATCGTACGAATGCCAGATTCTTGGAGAATGAAATTCTATTAATCGCTAAGCTATCAAACATTTAAATTGAATTTTTCATATTATATTACGAATCAAGTGCGTAATGGGTTTTTTGGCTCGTGGGAAGTAGGAAAACGAACCAAAGGCGAGTTTTATATTCCTAGTTTTCTATACTACTTCGTGTCATAAGGTCTAAATTTCGGGCACCTATGTCCATCGCCACCATGGATGGGGAGTTGTGGTTGGAGTCTATGAAAAAAAAGAACTTATGTCAATGGAAAACGTTAATTATAGAAGGAAATTATTAATCACAATTATTTCTATAAAGTCGACATGAACTTCATATGCATAATTGAAAGAATTTAGGAGTAGAACGTAGATTTAGTATGGTTAGGGCCATGCGTTCGACAATCAGTAATAATATAAAATCATTGACTACGAATATGCATGCAATAGCACAATTACATGTAACGTCGGCCAATCACACTTCGAAGCATGGTTGAGAAAGAAGTCCTGTAGATGAAGCCGGGCATCAAGTTCAAGAACTGCTCCAAGACTCCACATCATAGAGAAGAGAAAAATTCGTTCCAAATGTTTGTCTGTAAATGTACCTGCAAGGGCGAACAATTCCACACTTGCACATTGTTTATGAGAAAAAAAAATGTATATTAGACTACGCCACTTTTGAGGAACATTTTCTTAAGCAACTTTAAACACTACCATTAAGGATAATAAGAATCGTACGGGAGACCAAACTTGGTTGGAGAATTCCGAGAGATTGCTTCATAACTTCGAATGTTTTTTATTTAAATAGCGTGTGAAATTCGTCTGATGTTCGGTTCGCAGAATTTTACGTCTGACGTTGACTATTAAACACCTTTCTAATACCAAGAGAACTTTATTTATGTCTTAAACTGGAATGTTTAATGTGGATTTCCACATATTTCTCTAAATAAAGCACTCCTAAGTAGGCGAAAAATATAATTTCATTGAAATTTCATTACAAAAACCTTTTTATGTAAATATCTCCGTGAGTATCGAGCTTATGTTGGAATATTTAAAGTTATTATACAACGGATGTAGTACTTCATCAGGTTGATGATATATCCGTTGAGATGTGGATTGGAATACTCGAAATAATTGAAGCTCAATATGAACGTGAACTGCTAGTCTGCTTTACTTGACTGTTATGCTTTAACTGACCATTTTATTGTACAGCCAGCAGAACCTGATATTGTCGATCTGTCTGACTTTCTCGGTCAGACAGCTCATTGTATTTGTCATATATTCGCTAATTTAGTTAAATATAGATAAAAAAATATTTTCTAGCCTAGCAAATTTGATACAAAAAATTTCTTATAAAGTATCCTTCTCAAGACTTTCATTTCGGAGGTATTCGCGGGTTCGACTTGAGTCGCCGTAACGGGCAAAGGGAACCAACAGGTACTCTAAGCGTTTGATATGTTGTCTCGAGTGAATAAAATCCAATTCGGTTAAATTAAATGAATTTGTCAATCCTTGTTACTAGTACAGATAACGCATCGGATTCCGAATGAAAAAGTCATAATTACAGTGTAGCGAAATGTGACTCCCCCATCAGGAGAGCTCAACTCAAAATGTTCCCAAACTCTGCCACGTATTGATTATAAAGGCCTTAAACAATTTAACCTTCGTGTAGGTATTTCGAGCGACGCGTATAGTCCCGAACACACCTGATGGAGGAAAAGGAGAGCTTCCTCGACCTTGACCCATCCCCTCTTGGAAGAGGGTGGAGTATTAAAGGTGAAAAGGGCAGGACTCCGCGGCTGCGGACTAGTTGCCAAGGAAAAAGCCGACGAAAAAGTGTTGGAAAAAACACGGAAAGAGCTTTGGACACCTTCAACAGACTCATACCTCAAAAAAAATCAGGAACCATCCGCATGGTTCCAATACCATTCTTGACCCTCTAGGATTGTTTCACGAAATACGCATTGACCATCCCACTCAGGCATCAAGCCGCGAGGGGATATGGCGAAAGCCCTTGCAAAGGGACTGATCGGCAGATTCGGGTCCCCCCCCAGGTACTCCTTCCAGATCGAGGAACGAATTTCATAAGCCCAATCACAGCATCTGCAAACTCTTGAGAATCCGACAGTGCCTGTCCACCGTCTACCATCCACAGTCAAATGGATCATTCGAGCTCAGCTATTATGTCCTTTCAGCTTTTCTAAATATCCAGATCGGGACCAGTGGAGAATGGGACAAATGGATAGACGGATATGGCCATGTGCACCTACAACGCTAGCGTCGACGAGGGCACAACGTATCTACCACACGAGTTAGTTTTCGCAGTCAAGCCAAGGGTTCTATCAGCACAAACGGTCGAAGGACTGGGAGGCAAACCCTACTGCGACTTCTTTCAAGAATTAATCGATGGATTAAGACACGTCCGCGAAAAAGCCCGGGTGAACCTGATAAAATCCAAAGAGCGGTCAAAAAGATACTATGAGCGAAAAAATAAGACAACAACCCTAAGCGTTCAGGCGATCAGGTATGACTCTACAGAAAAAGAAAGCTAGGAAAGAGAGATGACGATTGGAAGGGACCCTACAAAATCCAAGGAATTCTCGACCAGAACAACGTACGGATCCAGGCAGAAAAACGATAGAGAGCAGTTGATTGGGATAAATTTACTCAATGCTATTTTTTCGGTAAAAAAGCCAATCGGCATCCGTCCATCCTAACCGTGGAAAATATCACAGAGGCAGCAAACGACATTTCAAATAGAAACAGGAGATTTGAAATAGCGGTACCTTTGAATACTGCACACGCAGCGGAATTGAAGCAAATTGCGGTCCTTACCGCATATTTCCACAAGGACAGAATACCGCATGTTTCCACAAGAATCAGATAGTTGTTATACTAACGTTCCATATCGTGAATCTAACCCCATACACCCTTTACAAACACGTAATTTTGCCCGAGACAATCAAGAACACCCTTACAACCGCGGTACCATTCGTGGCACCCGTATACGGTGATCTCAGAACACAGCAACACCTATTTTCAGCTTGATACGGAAGATGTGGGAACGTACAAACGGACCTCGGCAGAGCTCATTTGTAAGGCCACACCCCCCACATACGAGGTACATGGCCCCAAAGATCGCGTGGTCCAGATCCTCACTAAACTACGGTTCAATCGCTCTGAATTATTCGCACAAAACCCATACCACAGACCTACTGGTCAATAACAGAAGACGAGCTCCACGTAAATTAGGAAGGGAAACAACCCGTTATTAGAATCCTGAAGAGTCAGGCAATCCTCTCACTTCCACGAACCTGCGAAAATTTATTTGACTTTTATAAATTTGTTATAAACATCAGAATAAAGATTCCTTTAGTGAGTCATGATACACTTTGATCTTACTGACAGGATAATTTTTACTAAAAATTTCTCGCCCTGATAGATGTAAATATAGTTTTCAAAATCGGAACAAAATCATAATCATACAATCATTTCATTTAATGAGCCCTTATTTCCATAAACTTGTCAATCTGAATTTGGAAAAAAACGTCTTCTGAGCCTGCCTAGCTGACATCCAAGAGAAGATCTGGACCCTGTCCTGTGGGACAGTTCAAGATACGATACTCCGAGATAGGCCAGGTGCGGCAAGTTCCAGAAAAACCAAATGTTCACGGGACACTTGAGTTGATCAATTCTAAAAGAACGGACGGGAGAACAACCCCTCTGTTATCTCAGCGGAACAGGAAGGACTCGGAGATCGCGGTCAAGGATACCGATGTTGAGAACGATTAGAAGTCCCGCAAAGGACTCCGAAGGAAAAGGTCGAAGGATTCATCCCGTACCATTAACCAAGTGCTTAACAAGTCTAAGCAGCAGACGTCGGCGAGGCAGCTTGCCACTCCCTCGAAGCCGATCGAGAAATGCACC